CAATGACTAACAGTTTAACTGTAAACTATTTTCAAAAGTATGTTGTTCAGTAGCTTGCATCTTCAAGATTGTTCGAACCTTTGATAAGTGGCGTCACGTGACAACAACGCCGTGTCCAGTCCATCGATATGCTGGAGTTGAGAAACAAAACCAGGTACTGAATTACTTTCATACTTAACAAATGAATGTTTAATTAAACATGTCTTAGTGTTGCCTGAGGTAGATGCTTGCTAGTTATATGACAACTAAACAGCAAGTATGTCTAATCAGTTCTATTTAACGTTAACCTGTATTACCTTGTTAGCTAGTGCAGCAATCAAAATATTCCATAGGAGCACATGAATTTACTGAGTTATTGTATAGCTTAATGTTTTCATATGTATTCATTAGGGAGGTGAAATTGTTCAGTGTAGTGTATGTTTAGAAAGCTATAAAGTCTAAACTGAAGATAATCAAAAATTACCTAAGGTCTACAATGACAGAGAGTAGATTGTCGAGTTTGGCTATTCTCAGCATTGAATCAAAACGCACCAGGGCCTTGAATTTAGATGACTTTGTTAAAAGATTTGCTGAACAACATGGCAATCGTCGCATTCAGTTACAATAGGTTCAGTTACTTGCATTCTTTAGATGTGAGTAGTAAATATGTCTGCAACTGTACACATATGCACCAAAGCTGCTTGTTGGATGGTTTAATAGACTGCTGGTCATAACCTTGTTACACCAAAATTTGTAATTTAGTTTTCGGTCCATCCAAATTTGTTGGTTTTGTTAAAAAAAGAAGAGATACTTGGATTTAAAGGGACTTTTGTTGCTTTACTTGCACTAAAATTATTGAATTTGTTTTTATGTCTCATCCAAGATATTTGAATACTTTAAAATGTCATTTTGTTGCTCTTGTTGCACTGAATATTGTGATTTATTTTATTCATTTTGAAGACATATGTTGGTGATTTAAATGTGGTTTCTGTATACAGTATTTATTATGTGTTTTTGACTTAACGATCCATTGAGATTTTGTATCGATGTGCAGTCTGCATTGTTTGTCATGCTTAGTAAATTAAACTTGGCATAGACTTAAACTCACTACAGGTTTGCGTAAAACACAATAAAGAGAAGTTAAATATACCGTACCATCTCATTTAATTTATCTGACTTTCCAATCCAGATATCAGATTCAAGTCAATCACAAATCAGCCTTTATTTCATTTTTATAGAACAATGTAAAAATGTGCACCCTAGTGTATACACCGAATAAAGAATAGCATTCCTTGAATCCACAAAAACCATGCAAGGATGCTTGCTTCAGTGTTGCCACCCCTCATAATTTTAATGCCACCCCCTTGCCACCCCATGAATAATTTTCTAGATCCGCCCCTGATCCCCACCCAAAGCACATGGGTATCTAAAGGAGGAAAGGAGGAAGTTGTTTAGCCTGCCGGTGCTAAGAGAAATGATCTGCCATCTCCCCCTAGCCAAGTTAGCCATGTTAGCCATGTTAATGAGTCAGATATCCTCAGTGCTGCCAGGAAAAGGGCATCAAACACAAGGACTGCCATCTCCGTGCTGCCCCCATGTGGTTACATTAAGTATTCCGATAGACAGATTAATAACATGACCAGCAGATGGCGCACCTTTACAACAAATGCATCAAAATTCATACTGTACATGTCTTTCTGGGTCATGAAAATGAACCTGAAATTCGAAATTATCTCTATATCCTTATTATACTTAATGGATACCACTGCAAAGAGGCTCTGGTCCAAGTGCCTGTAAATGAAATTACACTGTGAGTGCAGTGGACAGTGGACACTGTGGAGGGGGGGGATGCACCTAATACCAAGCGTTGGTCCCAGGAGTCCATAAGGGGGGAAACACTATGTCCTGCGACCTTCTGCCAGGGAATCTTCACACCTTAAATTAGAGCCAGGATTTGAGGGATGACCAGCAGTTAGGGAGTGAGCTTCCAAACATCTGAGAAATTGCAGGATATAGCCCCCACCCCCAAGAAAATGCCTTCATGCAATCTGAGTCAGTCTAGCATGGGATAATGTGTTCCCGCTCCTGGAGAGATGCCAGCAGTGAGCTGACGTGTGATCCCTAACTCATAGGGTCCACCTCATTGTCTCAGTAACTTAACAAATGCAGCCATGTGACAGTGGTCTGGAGGGGAACTCGCACTGGACAGCACAGATGATGCCTCNACATTTCACATAAAGGGAAGGGAGCCCTTTAAACAGGCGGAGGAGTGAGGTTGTCTGGAAACTATCTGGAGCAGCCATGGATGCTCAAGTCCTCTCAAGCTCTTCTGCTGACTGGAAGTGTGATGTGTGATGCACGCTAGTGACAACGTTGCAGGCTGTGGGCAGTGGTGGTGAGGATGAGCATCAGAAACATGCCACATGTGTGAGGTTGTTCTAAGATGCTTAGTTCCATGTTTTCATTTCTGTTTATTTTCTAATTCGGTCTTGTGTGGAGCCGTTGACAGATCTGATACTCTCTCCCATTCTTTCAAACTCTAACAAAGAAGTTGAAAATTTGGGGGTCTGTTGATACCAAGCCACGGTCAGGTCGACTAACTAAGATCTAAGTCATAACTGGCAGGAATATTTGTCGGGATCCAAAGCAAAACCCACAATCCACTTCAGCTGAAATAGAGGCTTCTCTGCAAAAAAGTGGTGTTGCTCTTTCAAGATGCACAATAAGGAGACACTTAATGAGCTGTGTGGTCGAGTTGCAAGACAAAAGTTCTTACTGTAGCTTTGCCTCAAAACAGCCACTTACATTGTACCAAACAGCTTCTAGACAAGCTGCAAAACTTCTGGAACAAAGTTATTTGGAGTGAAGAGGCCAAAACTAAACTTCAATGTCACAACCATAAACTGTTTGGATTGGACCCAACAAGGCCAATGAGCAAAAGCAGAACAAGAACTAAGGGAATGCAAACTTTTAAACAGGCCCATCTCATTATTATCCTTGCTGCTATATTTCATTTAATGATTGTGCTATTTTGTTATGCCTTATAATTTAATCTGAATCCCATTCAAAATAAATGAAATGTGTTTTGCATGATCATTCATGTTTTCTTTAAAGAGTGGTACACATCTCACACATTCTGACAGGGTATGTAAACTTATGAGCACAACTATTGGCTTTGGTTTTAGGTCTTGCACACCTATTGTGTCCCTCTCGGCCTGCCGTAGGGCCTGTTCAGGCCGCTGTGTCACTGTCTGCAGCCAGAATACCACACAGCAGTGGATGGTGATGTTTAAAGTGGGTAAAGCACAGTGTTGACACTTGGAACTTTGACCAAAAAAAGTATTTTTTTTTTACTTAACTTATTTAACTTATTTGTAAATTCTGCCCTCCTTTCTTTTTGTAAGAAATGATCTATTATCCTGTCACAGCATGAGTGCTGCTCAAGCGATTTGACCATTTCAAAACATACAGGCAGCTTAGTTAGCAAGTTAACTACAAAACTAGATAAAAGGCACTGAAATGAAACAAATGATCAAACTCAGAACTCAATGATAATGACTTTACAATATTTACAAATGCCAATGGCAAAAGATGACATTCACACTGATACATTGGCAATTAAATCCTTTTGCCAGTGTTATGGGGTGGCAGTGCTTCCTGTGTCGTCTTATAGCAATTGCTGGTGATACCAAACTGTTCTGCAGTAGGTTAAAATGTTCTCTGCACTGCTGCCTGCCTCACAAACCTGCACTGGAGTCCATCAGCCACAAAGGGCCTTCATCTGTAGGCTGTTTGACGTGCAGAGGTCAATATGAGACTCCCAGCATGAAAATTACAGCTTAATCAAAGGCTGACATGGGTTTGTCCAGTTTGATTGACCTGGACACTGTCACACTGAGAACAGGAGGACCAAGTAAACCGGAAATGGTGGTGAGAGCTCTTCTGCTGACTGGCAGTGTGATGTGTGATGCACACTAGCGGCAACATTGCAGGCTGTTGGCAGTGGTGGTGAGGATGTGTCAGTATTTTATCTTATCAGAAGTGGTCACGGGTGCTCAGTCCTTTCTGANATTTAAATGCTTCTTAGTTTATTCTACTTTTCGAAGTTCAGGGCCATCAAATTGGAATTAGTGCCGAATGGTTTGAAGTAGCATAACCGTGCAGAAAACTGGCAAACTCCCCTACAGGACATCAGAGGAGGACACAAATCCACCACTCCCAGCTCTGATGCTCGCTCATGTAACGGGCCATGGGAGGAGGAGTAGCTCAGTCAAATCCACCCAAGCAGAGCACTGAGGTTCTGCTGGGTCTCTGTGGACCACACACAAACATCTCGGTATAGTTCTTAGTGGGCCACTCTAATTGCTTTCCCTAATTAAATTCCTGGCATTAACCTGACACCAAGGTTTGCTGAAGCGTACAGCGATGCGTGGGGTAACAGAACGGATGCACATCCTGGTGACACACATGAGCTACTGGACACTCTGGGCTCCTGTCATTCTCCACCCATCGCTCACACACCTCATTGCGGCCCTAATGAGGTGCCTCCTCAATAAAGAATCTTGATCTTGAATTACGGGGATGAGGGGCCCCTGTGAGAGAGATGTGAAGGGGGCCATGTCAGATGGATATGAGGATATGATAGCTGATGATGATTATTAATATTTGTTTTATTTTTTGGTACCTTTTATCCAGTACAATTGCATTTTTAAAGGTGAGTATCTGTTTGCTTCTCAACCCCTGCCTCCGCACAGTGTTCTTGTGGTCCCACACTGCTTCATAACAAACCTGCGGAACCTTCTGACTCTAGGTTCTGGTGTCCATGGAGATCCTCTGTGCGGTTTAAGTAAGGAACCCACAGTCTGCTCCCAGGTTCTGCTGACACCAGCACCTTGCCTGCACCTGCACCCCTGCTGTACCAAAGGTGGTGGCGACAGCGGGGCAGCAACCTTCTGTGTCAGCATTTCTCACGAAGAAAGACACGGCCTGCCTTGGAAATCACTGCAGACGGACACATGTGGCTTGATAAATTGCATTTTAATTCCGCACAGACACACAGCAGGCCGCAATGCTCCAAACACTGAGCACAGAACCTGACCGTGCTGAAGGGGGAGCCTGTATCTGGGGGTGGGCCAGTGGTGGGGGGGTGCTGAGTCACGCTGCAGCATGTTTCACACAGTGTACATATGACAGCAGGTGAGGCTGAGAAGGCACAGCACGGGCATGTCTGCAGAGGAAGCGCATGCGAGCGCATGCCGTAAACACCAAGAACAGCATCTGGCACCTGCNACATTTCACATAAAGGGAAGGGAGCCCTTTAAACAGGCGGAGGAGTGAGGTTGTCTGGAAACTATCTGGAGCAGCCATGGATGCTCAAGTCCTCTGAAGCTCTTCTGCTGACTGGCAGTGTGATGTGTGATGCACGCTTGCAGCAGCGTTGCAGGCATGGTGCAAGATGGATAGTTCCCTCTTTTGTTTTCCGTTTTTTAAAACTTGGTTGGTCTCTTCACATTATGAGCCGTTGACAGATAGTACCGGCTCCCTTTCTTACTATTTATCAGGTTAACGTGCACTGTGCTGCCTTTCAGCTTTAGGTCTTAGGTCTGTAGATACAAAAATTCTAGCTAAACCGCGTGCAACCAGGTTAGACTCAGTACTACCATGAATTTCAGAAGCCCTGACTGCCAGCTGGTTCATTAGAGGAAGGCTCCTGCCGATTCGGGACCGAAGGCTCCTGCCGATTCGGGACCGAAGGCCCCTGCCGGTGCAGGACCTACCACAACGATTGGGTGCTCCACGGATTGTGAATTTGATTTTCTCAGGTTTCAACAATGACAGCACATCACTCAGCCGAGAGGGACAATAGGTGTGCAAGACCTAAAACCAAAGCCAATACGGTCCACGTTACCCTGATACAGTTGTGCTCATAAGTTCAAAAACCCTGGTAGAATTCGTAAGATGTGCACCATTCTTTAAAGAAAATGAGTGATCATGCAAAACACACGTCACATGATGTCAATGATCAGCTGACATGATCAGTCTTTTTCGTCTCAAGAAAGAAACAAATCGATTCACAAACGTGCGCGTAGAAATCTGCATCAGCTCGGAGTAAAGGGTAGAGTTGCCAGCTTCTATACTGTTTAGGTTTAGTATTAAATGAGATATCGAGAGTATTCTGGCTGAGTACTGTGTAGCAATGATAGATTGAATAAGAGCTTTATCCATTATGAAGTCATCTATATGGTTGTAGGTTCGGGTTCCATGTGAGAAAAAGGAATGTGAACCTCCAGGGATCAATGTCACAATGTTGCTCCACAAAGGAAGTAAAGGGTTTGAGACATTTTACATTGTGAGCGGGGCCTAGATCTGTCAAGCAAGGGGTTAAGAATGCAGGTTAGATCCCCACCCAAGTGCATGGGTATCTAAAGGGGGAAAGGAGGAAGTTGTTTAGCCCGCCGGTGCTAAGAGAAATGATCCTCAGTGCTGCCATCTCCCCCTAGCCAAGTTAGCCACGTTAGCATGTTAGCCATGTTAATGAGTCAGATATCCTCAGTGTGGGCGGCACAGTGGTGCAGTGGTTAGCAGTGTCGCCTCACAGCAAGAAGGTCCTGGGTTTGATCTGGGTGTCTTTCTGTGTGGAGTTTGCATGTTCTTCCCATGCATGCGTGGGTTTCCTCCGGGTGCTCTGGTTTCCTCCCGCAGTCCAAAGACATGTAGATTAGGTTAACTGGCTACTCTAAATTTCCCATGGGTGTGACTGTGAGTGTGTGTGAGTGGCGGCCTGCCCAGGGTTTACCCTGCCTCTCGCCTGAAGATGCTGGGATTGGCTCCAGCTTCCCCACAACCCAGATGGATTAAGCGGTATAGATAATGGATGAATGGCTGGATATCCTCAGTGTTTCCAGGAAAAGGGCTGCCATCTCCGTGTTGCCCCCATGTGGTTACATTAAGTATTCCGATAGACAGATTAATAACATGACCAGCAGATGGCGCACCTTCACAACAAATGCATCAAAATTCATATTGTACGTGTCTTTCTGGGTCATGAAAATGAACCTGAAATTCGAAATTGTCTCTATATCCTTATTATACTTAATGGATACCACTGCAAAGAGGCTCTGGTCCAAGTGCCTGTAAATGAAATTACAGTGTGAGTGCAGTGGACAGTGGACCTAATACCAAGCGTTGGTCCCAGGAGTCCATAAGGGGGGAAACACTATGTCCTGCGACCTTCTGCCAGGGAATCTTCACCCCTTAAATTAGAGCCAGGATTTGAGGGATGACCAGCAGTTAGGGAGTGAGCTTCCAAACATCTGAGAAATGGCAGGATATAGCCCCCACCCCCACCCCCAAGAAAATGCCTTCATGCAATCTGAGTCAGTCTAGCAGCAGTGAGCTGACGTGTGATCCCTAACTCCTAGGGTCCACCTCATTGTCTCAGTAACTTAACAAATGCAGCCATGTGACAGTGGTCTGGAGGGGAACTCGCACTGGACAGCACAGATGATGCCTCACCGAGCAGCGTGGGGGTCTAACTGGCTTGGATTTCCTCTAGCACTGGGGGAAAACCCAGTTCACTGATTATGTGTAAAAACATCAAGGGCCAGATGTTTTTGTCCAATGCAGCATACAGTTGAGAGGGCAGAGTCTGACAGTCCCTGGAGCGGCTCGGGGTTAAGGACGTTGCTCAGGGCTCCAACGGTGACATCACACTGCCGGCCCTGGGGTTTGAATTGGCAGCTTTCTGGTCACAGAAGGCACCGTAACCTGCTGAGTCACACACAACCCCCCGTAACAAATTAAGGCACAAAATGATAGAAAACAGCCGTATTGTTGTGAGTCAAGTGTGTGAAACGGTGTCACTGAAAACCACGTCCAGCAGAACGGTGTAAAAATGCCGGTTTTCCACATGCTGCATTTCGGAAGAGGCACA